TCATCAATATAAACTTCCATTGATTTACCTATTTGTTCCTCGAACATTTTATTTACTAGGCGTTGGTAAGTAGCTCCTGCATTTTTTAACATGAAGGGCATCACATTATAATAATATATTCCATACTTGGTGACAAATGAAGTCTTTTTCTGCTCTTCCGGGTTCATTTGGATTTGATTATACCCGGAATAGGCATCGAAAAAAGTAAGGATCTCGTGGTCGGTCGTGGCATCGATCATGCGATCGATGTTGGGCAGCGAAAAAGAATCTTTGGGGCATGTTTTGTTCAAATCCTTATAATCTACACACATTCTAAGTTTGTTCCCTTTTTAGGCACTACAACTATATTAGCTAACCATTCAGGATATCTTACCTCCCGAATGGACCCTATTTTGAGAAGTTTGGTTACCTCGTCCTTTATGAATGTGTGCTTTATCTCGGACTAGGGTCTTCTTTTTTGCTTCACCGGTCTGAACCTAGGGTCCAAACTTAGCCGATGCGTCGTTATATCCGGTAGGATCCCCGTTATATCTAAATGGGACCAAGCAAAATAATCTACGTTATTGATAAGAAATTGAATAATTTTTTTCCTGAGTTCTAGGGTCAACCCCGTTGCCAGGTATACCTTCCATTCGGGCCAGTGCTCGATTAGTGTGACTTTCTCCAATTCCTCAATTGTTGATTTGGTAGCGTCGGAATCATCGAGAACCACGAAGGATCGAGGGATCCTTTGATCATCATCTTCATCGATCTTCTGATTTTCTGGTCGGGTTAAAGCTGATGTCTGTGATTGCTATTTGGCATCTCGTTTCCCTTTTGAGCCCGATCCTTTTATTGGAGAAGGTGAGGATATTGGATTTGCTTCCTCGACGGTAAACATTTCTCTTGCGGCTGGTTGTTCTCCATACATTGTTTTGACTCCCCACGATGTTGGGAATTTAAGAACCTGGTGTAGGGTCGAGGGTACATCTCTCATGTCGTGGATCCATGGCCTTCCAAAAAGGGCGTTGTACCTCATGTCGCCTTCGATTACGTGGAACTTCATTTCCTGGATAGTCCCGGCCACGTTTATCGGCAGAAATTATCTCGCCTTTGGTAGTTTCACATGCCATATTGAATCTGTTTAGGACCAGGGTCGCGGGTACAATCTGGTCCTGTAGACCGAGTTGTTGTACGACCTTCAATCTAATGATGTTGGCCGAGCTCCCTGGATCAATTAACACACGCTTAACTTTAGTTTTATTAATAAGCACAGATATTACCAGTGCATCGTTATGAGGTTGTATGACTCCTTCTGCATCTTCATCATTGAAAGACAAAGTTCCTATGGGTGCGTAATCCTGAGTTCGAGATCGCTTTTCTCTCACAATCGATGTCTTAGTGCGTTTAAGCACCGGCCCTTGAGGGGTATCGACACCGCCGATGATCATGTGAATGACGTGTTGTGGTTCTTCTTGTTCGTTCTGCTTGCCGAAATCCCTGTTTTTGAAATGGTTCTTTGCCCTGTCGCTTAAAAATTCTCGAAGGTGCCCTTTATTGAATAACCGGGCTACCTCATCTCTTAGTTGCTTGTAATATTCCGTTCTGTGGCCATGGGTGCCATGATATTCGCACATTTGATTGGGATTTCTCTGGGCAGGATCGGTCTGCATGGGTCGAGGCCATTTAGTGTCTTTGATGCGTCCGATAGCCGACACGATGGCGGATGCATCAATGCTGAAGTTATACTCCGATAACCGAGGCACTTCCTTAGATCCGGTAGGCCTATCGAACCCACTTCTGTTCATCGGTCCCCGAGACCCTTGACCTCGATCACTTCTTTTGTTTATTTGTTCAGGGTTACGTCTCGATTCATTGATTCTGTGATTTCCGTTATACGGCCGATATCGATCCTTGATCAGACCTTGTTCTTGATTGATATCCCTTCGAGCAGCGAGTTTAGCCCCCAACTGATCATCTTTGACTCTAATTTTGATTGGTATCGATTGTGCACGTCGGCCCAAGTGATAGTTGGGTACTCGATCAGGTTATGCTTCAGTTGCCGTGATGCCGTTGAACTTCGTTCGTTTAAACCCTGAGTGAAATCTTGAACAGCCTAATCGTCTGTGACTGGTGGCAGATCCATTCGTTCCATTTGAAAACGAGATACGAACTCCCTTAGCATCTCATTATCCTTTTGTCTTACCTTGAAAAGGTTTGATTTCCTCGTTGCAGCCTTTATGGCCCCGGCGTGTGCCTTTACGAAAGAATCTGCTAACATGGCAAATGAATTGATCGAATTCGGTGGTAGGTTATGATACCAAATCATTGCTCCCTTCGAGAGGGTCTCTCCAAACGTTTTCAACAACACAGATTCGATTTCATCGTCCTCCAAATCATTATCCTTGATGGCACATATGTAAGAGGTGACGTGTTTGTTGGGATCGGTCGTTCCGTTATATTTGGGAATTTCGGGCATACGGAATTATTTGGGGATTGGTTTTGGGGACGCGCTCGAGGGGAAAGGCTTTTGCATGAATTTTTTGGAATCCAACCCTTTTATCATTGGTGGATCCCCCGAGATCTGGTCGACCCTGGACTTATATGTTTCTACTTTTTTATCGTTGGCTTCGACTCGCTTTGTGAGCTCCTCGAGTATTTTAGCGATTTCGGGAGTAATCCCCGATTCTTGCTCATTTGACCTCACTATGGCTGGCTCCGTTCCGTGGGAAATTTCTCGGGGTGGACTGTGCTCCGGTCTTCTTGGTAGCTGGGTTTGGCTCTGCAACTGAGCTATCGCTACCTGTTGGGCTTGTAACATTTCAAAAATCATACGCAAGCTGACGTCGTTTTTCTTAATGTTATGGGTGTTTCAAGCTGCAGACCGAGTGCCACCATGAATGCTATTTTCAGGTTCAGAATGTATGTTCGCCTCAATGGCCACATGCGAATTGATATCTATCGGCACTCCGATCCGAGCTCCAANCGGCGTTGACAAGTGGTCTTTCGGTACTAGGTGTCAAGTTGTTGTTCTCATCTTGAAGACCAGCTTCGTTGTCGATAGGTAAGGCCATTTGATTGGTAGTTAGTCGTTGCTAATCCGAAAACCCGAGATACTTTCGGAAACAAGCGCAAAACGATGTATTTTTGCAGATTCGTATCAAATAACCACTGTTATCCTTAGCCCCACGCTGGGTGCCAAACTCTTTACCCGAAAAACGGATAGAGTTGAATTTATACATAGTTCTAAGGATATGTGGTATAGCTTAATACAAATCGTAAGGATAAATAGAAATATCAAATATGTATTGCAAATAATACAAAATAAATAAGGTTGGAAAGAAGATGATTTCTAAAAATAAGCAAGATGAATTATTTAATGAAGTTTTAAAGAATAACTCTCGAATATAGGAGAATATGGTGCTTGAATTACAATGTAAGCAAAAAAACTGCCTTCTACAGAAATATATCCATCCTCTTTATAGTGGAGGATCCTACTTTTTATAATTAAAAATACATAGTGGAGAACCCATGATAAATTAACTTTTTCCTAATTTTTGCCGAGATTCTCTCCCTTAGTATGTTCGCAACGGCTCTTGTCTGTGAGCTCGAGCTCGATCGGCCTTGGTGCTGGTCGGTATTGCTTCTGAAACTCGATATGGACTCGAGATTAGGTGATGATTCAGACTCGATCTCGGTTGGCCTCTGCCCCTTAAGCTCGAAATCATCTCATCATAGTTCGATTCGGATCCGAGCTCGATAATGAGTTCGAACTCGGTGTTCGATCTATACCCGAAATCTGGAGCTTTGTTTATACCACTTTCGGAACCCATCTCGATATTACGAAGTCTTTCTCTGATCCATTATGTTTCGACCCCGATCAATCGTACGAATGCCGAAATCTATGTCAACCGTATATATTTTCTTTAGTCTTAACATGACTATTTCACTACAGCTTTTCTTTCTAAAAAATGTTGAGAAAGAGAGTCTTCCGTAAATAACATTTCTACTTTTTTACAAGATATGGATAAAATCTACATATACATTAACCTCCCTAGATCTGACAGCATGGAAATACCTAGGTTTGTTGTTGTAGAGGTGTAACACTACCAAATAATCAAACCGAAGGCAAGCTTTCTTTGCAGGGGCGGAGCTAGCCTTTCGGTTGCAGATTCGGTTGAATTCAATAACTTTTGTTCAAATTTTGTATTTGTCTTAAAAAAAATTATTGAATTATACACAAATTATTAACGTAGAATTCAGTAGCTTAAAAATATTAGAATTTTGATATCTAGTATAGTAAGTGTGCCTCTGTTTGTTTGTCAATCGAGTGGTATGAAAAGCAATGAATTCAAATAGGTACCAAATATTATAATTTAAACCCCGCATAGGATTCTCACATCACAGTACTATTTTGCCATTACGAGGAAGAATTGCGTTTGCAAAATACAGGTTTCAGGTGCAGTGGGAACACGTGAATAGTGTCATACAAATTGCTAAATATAAGAAATTTAAAATTGCTAAAAAATAGTGTCATACAAATTAGAACTAGAAGAGTACTATTATTTTCTCTTTTATTTCACTTCTTTTAATATAATATAATGTAAGGGTTTGTGCCGATCCTTCCACTATCATAATTCATAAGGCAGATTAAATGAAAAAGAAAAGGAAAAGCTACAATTAATTTGCAGAATAGTAGCAGTGAACCAGTGTAGCGAATTCTCTCAGCCAATGAGAAAGATTTATCTTTTACTACCAAATTAAATGTACTGTTTTCCGTTGCTTAAACATTAAGAGAGAAAAGACACAAATTTGTTTAAAAAAATCATTTTTGCTATCCGCTATACTAGTCAAAAAAGCAAAATAATTGAGAAATGCAAAACACCAAGTTACACTAAGCTAAATTGCTAATACCAAGAGTACTAACAGCTGAAGAAAAAATTAAGAACCAAAATCCAAATACTCAAAATTTCTTAGTTTTATGGATAGAAAGAAGTAAGAACTGCATACTATTATTTATATGTATATTACATCATCATCCTTATTTCAATCTCAAAAACCTAAGCTACTAAAAAAATACTACTCCTAACAAACTTACAGAACAAGAAAAAATAGACCCAAAACAAAGAGCAAAAGTGACTCTTTCTGTTTTAATTTGCTCTCTCCACATGTCGCAAAATAAACACAGACTCAAGATCTGGTGGATTAAAATACTCCCTAGCACCATTATAATTACATGCTGACACCGGCCGGCGTTTCACCGGTGCCGGTGGACATGGAAGTTTTTCCGGTATCCTTGAATCTCTTGCCGTTGGAGTTGTTGAACATTCTTCTTCATCTTCACACTCTTCTCTGCTAGGCTTTTTTGTGGATATTGATTTCAGTTTTGGCCGAAAGGCTATTCCTGCAATTACCCACATTTTTTCCTCTTCTTTGCTTCCATCTACTTGATGTTTCTTTGAAGATCCCATTTTTAATAACCAAAACCACAAAAAAAAAAAAAAAAAACTCTTTGATTTGAAAAAGTTACAAACTTTGGCGAACAAGGAAGAGGAAGAAGAATAAGAATGAACTAAAAGGGTCTCTTTTGCAAAGACTTTGAATGAAAGAAAAAGAAAAGAAGCGGGAAAAGGGTATGGAGAAAACAGATAGCAAAAATCTAATTTGCTTAATATTATGTAAATGTATAATGATAAGGTTTTATAGGGAATAAGAATAAGAATATTGTTGTGAAATTATTTTGGGATACCCGTAAAATTTCGGGCAATGGGCAGCTAAAACCAGAGGGAAACTTAGATTTTGGCGCCAGAATTTGGTGCCTGCCGGGCAACGGCTCTCTTTCCCGCCTACAGTTTTTGTTTTTCCAGTTTTACCCCTCTTTCCCAATCATTTTTTCTGTTGAATGCCACTTAGGCCCAAACCTGCTCCTGCAAAAGCTCTTTAATCTTAGGCCCAAGATGAGGGCCTCATATAATTTTGAATTTTGGACTAAGATCACTTGTAACCCGCGACTGAATCTATTCACATTTGATTATTTATATGTATATAAATACAAAAAATAGATATTTTTTTGGTTTTTATTTTAAAAAAAACTATACAATATCACTTTTCCTATAATTTAATTTGTACACACAGATACATCCAGATTTTAAACTCAATATAGTATATGGCGGTGTTTTGAATGAACATGGAGCTTTTTAAGAAAAGGTTTTTAGTACATACCAAAACAACTATTAAAACTTTAGATTTAAAAATGGTATGACATTTCCATCATTATAAAAGCATTTTATTGAGAACAAACTAAAAATTTTAAAGTCGAAAAATTTATGATATATAAATTATAAATATGTGTATTTCTTTTAACAGACTAAAAAAGGTGACCTATAAAATTGAACGAGACTCCAGTAGCCATTTGTTTTCAACCTAAATACGTGTTACACGCCAACAGTACTGCAATAGCAATTTGTTAGTTGAAACGTAAAAAAATATTATAATACTTCGAAACCTTGTGAGTTTTGTTTCACTATTACCAAAAGAGACGTCTTTAATATTAAAATCTCATCTATTTAGTTTACAACACATAATAAACCAAAGCTATTATTTTATAAACATAAAGTTCGTCACAACTTCTTGTTAGTCTTTGGGGGGTATTCTATATATACCTTCTTGATATTAAATTCAGACAAGGGTCAAAAAACAAAATAAAAATTGATACACTTTCATTAACCGAAGAGCTTAAAACTATGAACGAATTAAGGTATAGTTGGTTTTTCATCAATTGAGATATAAACGATAAATATTATGAGTAGGGAAGACGTAGACATCCCAACATAAGTTTGAAAACGGAGATCAACTCATTTAAATCAGCTATAAATATCTAAGTATTAGCAGATTTTGAATTTCTCACCTCGTGTCCGGTACTTGCATTGGAGCCCGATTATATTAGAATTCGCGTTGTATAGGGCCTCATTCGGAAGAAAACGCTTCCTACCAAAGTTTTTTTCATACCCAGAACTCGAACCCGAGACCGCTGATTAACGGAGTCCCATCCACTGCACCAAATCTTCGGTGGTCTCGCAAATAAAATTTTCTACCATATACACAAGGCCATTGGGAGATAATATTGGAGCAGAGTAAAGGGGGCCTGGGTCCAAATGGGCGGTGAGTCAGCCTTCTTTGGACCACCCAAAATGAAACGACCACATGACACTGCGCCAGCTCAATGTTGTTGACCTTAAGATTCTTTTTGGGCCCCTATTTATTCTCATCAACAATTGCTGACAGGATAACTTTAAATGGATGAATCAGCTGTCATCTCCATTTATTATTAAAGACAGTCAAAATCAAATTAAAATTTCATTGACTATCTTCAATTGCATATACTTTTCTAAATTATTCGATTGAACGAGAAAACAAAAAAATAAAAAAGACACTACAATGTGATAGGGTGAGAAAATAACTAAATTGGGAGCTTTCCCTTGCTTGTTCTAATGTACCTAAATATTCTTAATTGATTAGTAATCAAAGATAATATATATATATTTTTTGTTTCACCTGTGCTTGGTATATGTTTTGAGGCACTGAGTAGTCCAGATTCGCGTAAGACACATTGAAATAGAAAGCACTCCCTACTAGGAGGATTTTTTTATTTCTAGGATACTTGTGACCTCCGGCTAAGATGGAAGAATTCTATCCATCTCACTACAACTTGGATGGTAAAGATGATTTATATTGTTTTTATATAAAATATATACTCATTCCGATTTATACTAAAAGTACTATTAATGTCCCCAAAATAATTGACAATTTTTTCTATTCATAGGATCAAGGAATTTACTTGTAGATGGTAAAAAATAAAAAAGCTCAAAACTCAAAAGAAGAAAGGAACAAAAACAAGTCGTATCAACTATCAAGTTGCAGCCGTCCATCTAAAATTGCGTGGCCTACTGAACCTGACACTTAGGCACTTACGTCTTTTTCTGAAGTAGACATACTTCATTTTTTTACTTGGATATGGCTGCCTTTTTTTGTAGTAGAATGTGGTTTGAGTCAAGGTAGGGGCTGCGGAGCTTGTGGCCTCCTTCTACGATAAGTCTTTCTCCTTTTGGTATGATTGATTAGAGAAGCACTATTTTCTTTCCCCTACCGTATTACTACGTATAGTAGGATTAGTCCCGTAAGTAAGCCAATATATGAATTTCGAAAATAGGTGGAAAACGTAGACAAAGATAGAAGCACATGCTACACAAGTACAGTTATTGAACTGTATTTGTAAAATAATTCTGGAGAAGATAAAATAACATATAAACAGAAATGTAAAAAAAAAATTTAAAAAAATAGAATTTAATTCGAACCCACTGAATTCACAGTGTTTCCTTAAGAAATTTAATCCCCTCCTAGTACCCAGAAGAAAGGAGGAGAAGTCAGAAATTCGTATGGAAAATCTAAGAGAATGGACTAGTATTTATAGCCAATGTTGAGGTCAAACTTAAGAGGTGCAACTCTTCAAATCTGAAGAGGTGCAAACTGTTCTTCAAATCCGAAGAGATGCAAACTGTTTCGGCCATATTATAAATGTCTTTTACAAAAAGCGAAGGGCATATACTATTACGTTTGGATTTAATATTAATATTTCGTTTACAAAAAATCGGATATTTAATAACAATTCTGTTAATATTTACTATTAACAAATAAATTTGGTCCAAAAAATTAATCAATCAATCGATCATTTGACCAAATCCGAATCCGANNCACGGAAATATGCATGAAAAACTCTGTGATTTGCAAGCAAGGATTAATTGCATCTGGCTAAGTAGGTTTCCCTTTTAATTTTCCGTAGTGAACTTACGTCGGATATACTCGATCAATCGGTAGATTTGATATCTTTGAACCGTCGAACTTTGGTGTATACCTAGACCACTATAAGTCACACAACCAACCTTTAACCGTCTTTGGCTCTCATTGTTGTGTTCGTTTCAGCCATGAACGCCGCCTGGTTTAATAAGTGCGTAGAGAATTGGCCTTACAAAATTTCCCTTGAAGCGGCTAACACTTCACACTTACATAGGTGATTCCTAAACGTGTCATCCCGTAGATACACTATTTGATATACCCCGTATCAAATTTAGAAATCATTAAAAATCCTTAATGCTTTGTCCTTGGTGCTGAACATTGTCTCATCACGAGAATGGACCAAACTTTTAGTTGATAATGTTGAACCGTCATTAATGACTTTGTTTGATCTCCTTGAACCTAGATCTTGGTTCAAATGAAGAAGACGTTCTTTGACGTTTACTACGTCTTGGATCCTCCTGATTAAATGTGTTTTCTTTTGTTTCTTCCCGAGGTCGTTTAGATCCTTCACCAATCGACTCACATTCCTTTTTATACGGATATATATTTTCAAAGAATTCAGCATTATCTGATTCTATAACCGTATTATTATGAATGTCGGGATTTTCTGATTTATGAACCAGAAATCGATATACTTTACTATTGGTCGCATATCCTATGAAAACACAATCAACGATTTTCGGCCCTATTTTTACTCTTTTGGGTTTAGAAACTTGCACTTTTGCCAACACACCCCCACACTTTAAAATAATTCAAGTTGGGCTTCCTTCCTTTCCATTTTTCATATGGAATGGATTGTGTTTTGCCATGGGGTACTCGATTTAGTATCCGGTTAGCCGTAAGAACGGCTTCCCCCCACAAGTTCTGTGGCAAACCAGAACTTATCAACAACGCATTCATCATCTCCTTTAATGTGCGATTCTTTCTTTCCGCAATCCCATTAGATTGGGGCGTGTAAGGGGCTGTTGTTTGATGAATAATTCCATATTCTAAACATATTTCTTCAAAAGGAGATTCATATTCACCACCCCTATCACCTCTTATCATTTTAATTTTCTTGTTAAGTTGCGTTTCAACTTCATTTTGTATTGCCTGAATGCATCTATTGCTTCATCTTTACTATTAAGTAAGTAAACATAGCAATATCGAGTACTGTCGTCAATAAAAGTTATGAAATACTTCTTTCCACCGCGAGATGGTATTAACTTCATGTCGTAAATATCTGTGTGAATTAAGTCTGAAGGATTTGAATTCCTTTCAACTGACTTATAAGGATGTTTAACATACTTAGATTCCACACATATTTGACATTTTGTTTGTCACATTCAAACATAGGCAATACTTCCAAATTAATCATTTTCCGTAAAATTTTGTAATTGACATGACCCAAACATATATGCCATAATTCATTTGAATCAAGTAAGTAAGAAAAAGCTGAAATTTTATTATTATTCTCAATAACCATTACATTCAGCTTGAAAAGGCCCTCAGTGAGGTAACATTTTCCTACAAACATTTCATTCTTACTTATTACAACCTTATCGAATACAAAAATACACTTAAACCCATTCTTAACAAGAAGTCCAGCAGAGACTAAGCTCTTTCTAATCTCGGAAACATAAAGGACGTTTTTCAAGGTCACCACCTTACCAGAAGTCATTTTCATAAAGATCTTTCCATATCCTTCAATTTTGGCCGTTGCAGAATTTCCCATAGAAAGCGTCTCTTCGGGTCCAACAAGAGAATATGTAGCAAACGCTTCTCTAACAACACAAACATGACGATTGGCTCCAGAATCAATCCACCACTCCTTAGGATTTCCCACCAGGTTACATTCAGAAAGCATAGCACACAAGTCATCGATATCTTCGTGCTTTTCAACCATGTTTGCTTGACCCTTCTTCTTGTCTTTCTTTGGAGCACGACAATCTGCAGATCTGTGTCCAGCTTTTTCACAGTTGTAGCAATTTCCGTTGAACCGCTTCTTACTTGGGTTGCTTTTCGGTCCATAAGCATTCTTCCTCTTTCTATCTTCAACAATGTTCGCTCCCATTATTGTTAAGTTTTCACGGCCTTTCTTTTCAGCAACTTTGTTGTCCTCTTCGATTTTCAACCGAACAATGAGATCTTCAAGGGACATCTCATTTCGTTTGTGTTTCAAGTAATTTTTGAAGTCCTTCCACAATGGAGGCAACTTCTCAATCATTGCTGCAACTTGGAATACTTCATTGATGACAAGATCTTCAATGAAAATTCTGTTAGTAGAAATAATATAATTAATACTTTCAACGTTAGTATTAATTTGACTTATACCTTCAGCAAGGAGATCGTGAATAATCACTTGCAATTCTTGGACTTGGGTAATAACAGACTTGCTATCTACCATTTTATAGTCCAAAAATTTAGCCGCAACGAATTTCTTTAACCTGGCATCTTCCGTTTTATATTTCCTTTCAAGCGTTATCCACAATTGTTTTGATGTCTCCATATTACTATAGACATTATACAGATCGTCCTCTAGTCCGCTAAGAATGTAATTCTTGCATAGAAAATCAGAATGCTTCCATGACTCAGTCACGAGAAAGCGTTTATTTTCTGGAGTTTCGTTGGGCAAAACATGAACATCTTCTGTAATGAACTTCTGCAGACTTAAAGTCGTCAAGTAAAAGAACATCTTCTGCTGCCAGTACTTGAAATCAATCTCGAAAAATTTTTCGGATTTTTCTGCCGTTGCCAATGCCGGTGTTGTTCGGCTTGTCGATGCATTGGCAGTCACCATAGAAACAGTCTGATTCCCGTTGTCATTCGTCATTTCTGTAAAAGAATGACAAACAAATGTTAAAATCATGTAGATTTTAATCTCCACTGGAATAGAAAACCACACAGGTTTTAGTCTCCAGAAGCAGTGAGTATAACACAAATACAGAAAATATTAAATTCCTTAAGCTTGTTATTGAACTGTATTTGTAAAATAATTCTGGAGAAGATAAAATAACATATAAACAGAAATGTAAAAAAAACAGAATTTAATCCGAGCCCACTGAATTCACAGTGTTTTCTTAAGAAATTTAATCCCCTCCTAGTACCCAAGGTTGTGAATTATTTTCTCCCAGGATAGGACGAATTACACACTGGTGTAGCGATACTTCAAACACCAGTGTTTCAACGAACACAAAGATCGGTAGCAAATCACACTTACTGTTGCTTTATTTGTAGTTAAAACAATGCAGAAGAAAAGAGGAGAAGTCAGAAATTCGTATGAAAAATCTGAGAGAATGGACTGGTATTTATAGCCAATGTTGAGCTCAAACTTAAGAAGTGCAACTCTTCAAACTGAAAAGGTGCAAACTGTTCTTCAAATCCGAAGAGGTGCAAACTGTTTCGGCCATATTGTAAATGTCTTTTACAAAAAGCGAAGGGCATATACTATTACGTTTGGATTTAATATTAATTCTCCGTTTACAAAAAACCGGATATTCCGAACGAGCGAGCGAGCGACGACGGCGCGAAGCTTGCCTTCTTCTTAACTTTTTAAGAGCTAGAAGAAGTGCAATTGTATATATACCCATCAAAATCTTTTCCTCTTCCAATATGGGACAATGTCCCTTTGTCAAGGAGGGAAACTCAAATATTTTCAATTTCCCTCCATTTCCCATTCACCCTCTTTTAAGCTACATTTAAGCTTTAAAATCCAATAATTTTAAGCTACATTTAAGCTTAAAACCCCAACAAGTACCACATTATTAGTTAAGAAACAACGTAAGAATACATGTTTTTCTTTTATTCATCTATTTCTTTGCCGGTAAAACTTACCGGCACCAGGTTTTTGCACCAAATCAAACTAGTTTATCATAGTTAAATGATAAATTAGAATTACAATTTATAACCTTGTTTGTAAAAACACGTGTCATGTATTTATTGGATTGATGTTAACACCCCACACATGTAAGTTTGGAATAAGGGGTTGTCATGAATAATGGAGAAGAGAGAGTGCAAAATGAAGTATTATAGTGCGATATGCAATTAAGAAATGCAGAATAGCAAACTGTAATTCGAATTCCAGTAATAATAAACATTAGATAGTTGGAAAGAAGGTAAAATTAGGAGGCATCAGCATTTTTTATTCGTAAATAATTGATGAATGACTGTAAATTCACTTAAACTATTACTAGTAGTGAATGTAATATCAATCGAATCTCACCTTCGGTGTGCGAGTGCTATCCAAGCCCTCGTCAGAAATTACGTAAAGTCAGAAGATAATATCAATAAGACATCACTACTTAAACAGTTAATTGTAGCACTCAACAAGTTAAGGAGCCGTGCAATACCAAAATGTAATGCACTAATTACTTCAAATATGTATAAATTTAATTGCTGGTAACTAAGACGAGCTATAGGTTTGGCGCCAAGTTCAAAAATCATAAACTTCAAGTTCTGGTCCCACCTTCATTGATACAACAACAACAACCCAGTATAATCCCACTAGTAGGGTATGTAGAGGGTAGTGTGTACGCAGACCTTACCCCTACCCTGGGGTAGAGAGGTTGTTTCCGATAGACCCTCGGCCCCCTCCCTCCAAGAACTCCCCACCTTTCTCTTGGGGTGACTCGAACTCACAACCTCTTGGTTGGAAGTGGAGGGTGCTCACATCTTCCTTGATAGAGTAAATAAATTTAGACAATTAGTAAAGTTTAACCTATTAATGCAGGTTAGTAACTATTTTTATTAAGTTATCAGTTAATACATATAATTAAGATTTTCCTGAAATTATCTTATAAGTAATCCAATAGTGTAAATATTTTTTACACCAGAAGTATATAAAATTTAAACTCAATACAATATGATGGGTACTTATTCGAGTTTTGAATCATCAAAGTGGTGAAATGTCTCTCTCACTTTTTTTTGTTCTTCTAATACATTATTGCATATTTAAGGAAGAAGGGAAAAAGAAAAAAAGAATAAAACACAAACAGCTGAAATATTGCTATTTGCTTACCTTTATCCACCTAAAGGGGCGGCGAAAAAAGACAAACCATCTATTTTGTTTTTGATCGGTTTGATTGAGACTGTTCGTTGTTTAAAACCAATTACTTTTGCATTTTTGCACCAGATCTACACATGCATGATGCATCCCGTTCAAATTCATTGATCCTAGTCATATTTTTGAAGTTTATCAATAATTATTCTCGGTTTTATGTAATAGTAATATGTACGATAAAATAATTTTTCCACGTCGATGAGTGACATGGAACATGGGACTTTCCACTTAGTACACCTCATCAATCTGTCCTTTTGATTATATTATGTTTAATAAAAAATGAAAAAAGGCTTTAGTTCTAAGAAGAATTTGGAGGTGTGACCCCACCAGCAGGCATAATGCGAGAATTAGACACACGTTACGGATTTGAATCCTACCACAGACAAAACATGATATTTACCCATTATTCATCGAGTTTCGCATTCCAAAGGATTTCCCTTACCTTGAGACGAGGAGTAAAATCAGCAAAGTTTTGCCTTTTTACCTTAGTTGACATCTTTTACGCGCAAAGATGATTATGCCCTTTTATTACCTAGTTCCTTTTTGTCTTTTTTTTTTTCTTCTTTTCCTTTTACTCCTCTTTCCCTGTATCACTTGGCTTTTCCATTCGGCATCTGTTTTGGGAAATTTGTCATGATGTTAGAGGACAGAGGACTCACTTGATACATCACAGTTCTCGCCTTCTCGGCTCAAACACAACAACTCAATTCCAAGCAAATTGGGATTGACTATATAAATCCTCACGGTTCATGTCGCTCAATTTAAGCTAAATCCTAGTTCAATATAATCTCGGCTCAAATAATGGTTAAAAGAGTTTTAGGATCTTTTTAAACTACCAGTCTTATGATACGCGTTTTGCACGTGTACACTATCTCAATAAGAAAGAATTTTAAAATACTATATAAATAATATATTAAAATATTATGTTTGAGTGATAAAATAAAAATAAATTTTTTTCTAAAATGATAATCTTCATACAAGTTCTCAATCATCAATCAATATATTTAACTAAAAATTTATTTTAATTTTTAATTCAATCGATTTAAATCATAAGTTACCATGCTTCTTTTCAATTTCAGCAGTCACATATAATCCTTCAAAACTTAAGAATTAATTTCTTTTTGAAAAGTTATTCCCTTGTTCATTTAATTTTAGAAGACTCAAACAAGATTAACAAATTGATAGAAAATAATAATTTTTTTTCAAGAATAAAATGCAATTTATTTATTTTTAATTAATAATAAATATTATATGAATTATTTCCAACAGGTTAGAGAAAGAATAAATTATTGTAGCTCATTGTATAATCAAATTACATAAATTATACGAAGAAAAGGAGTTCTGAAAAAGAAAAAGAAAAAGAAAATAAACAACACTAAACCTAAAACTTTTTAACAAAAAAAAAAGCTCGTCAAGGACTCAAACAAAAAATTTACAACAAAAAGATAATTATATGATTTTCCATATCAAAGTCCTAAATATTAAAAAAATAATTAATGACTTCCTATATATTAGGAAAATAACTAAAATTACTACTGTGTCCAATATAAAATATACTCTTAAATGGTTAAAAAAGGCGAATAACATTTCGTTAAGGGCCTTCATGCTTTTAATATAGTATAGATATAGATAGTTGCAACTTTAGTTTTCCCAAGATCAAGTAATTTGTAGGGGAATTTTAAGCTACTGTCAAATACATTAAAATTCAAGCTAAAGTTTTCCAAGATCAAGTAATTCAACTGAACCAATTTTAGGAAAATAGATTCAAGCCATTGTGAAATGTGGCAATAAGACGGCTGCGCACCTATCTAAGGAATGTTATGAAGGCATTACTCTCCTTTAAATAACATGTTGTACCATAAAGAAATTTATAACCAGACTTGTGACAAAGTAAAAAGTAATGTGCTCCTGGCAGTTTCTCCTTGTCAACTGCATAATCCTTAACAGTTATTGCGAAACAATTATCCGACTATTTGATGACTAATGCTATACTAGAGGGGCATGTGACTACTCATCATTCAAAAGGACCACCCATCTATGTCCAACTCACAATATTAGTAGGATTAACAAGTGGGATTTTGTCATTTTCTCTCTACTTTAACAACATGGTCATCAATTGATGATTATATAACTATTATAATCCTACATTAACATATTGAGAGAAAGAATGTCTACTTATAGCAATGAGAATTTCCAATCCAGTTGAATTAAACAAAACACTCTCTTGTAGTCTTTAAGGAGGGGAAAAGAAAGCTTAAAACTACAATTCCGTGATCAGCTGCAAAAGGAATGGAAAACGAAGCTGAAATTCTACAGAACAAAAGTGTAAGTTAACTCACTTGTCAACCAGCTTTACTTTATGTGAGCATGCCACTTCATCGTCTTGTGTGTTTATCATTCTCATGTAGCCACAACTGTTTCTAATTCTCCTATAACATATTGCAGTAGTCAAGCTTGCTTTCACAAACTTAAAGTATGTGTAAAAAATTTGAAAGAGGAACCTTTACGTTTGTTCCATAAGGATTTCCAGGATTACTAAGTCCCTAAGAAGTATAAATAGAGGGTAGTACGTATCCTATTGATCAACTATAGATCTTGTATGAAGTATTCTATTCACTAGAGCACTAACCATTTGTTTCAAAGTTCAAAGTTTGTCACTAAAGAACCGGAATTAAGGATATCCATCTTCATGTATGATCATTGTCATGCACCCCTGAATACAAAAGAAAATATGTTTTATGTTGATTATGTCTACAAATTAGTAGATATTCAACTGGCTCGAATTGCTTATGTTGCAATAGAACTCACAACTTAACGTGGGACTTAGGAGTTAGAACCCTGCTAATTGAAGAGCATCCTGACCAAGCTGTATGTTCATATAAAGGTTCCGGAACAACTTTAGCCCTACATGACATTCATTCTTGATACACTTCTACACTTTAGTTGTGATTCGCCTTTTAGACAACAAAGGGTTGGTTCTAGATATGTGTATGAAGGTAATATGATCCTAAAAGAATTAGCACAGAAACAAAGCAATGCAATTTTTTATGCTCGACAAGATTTTGTTAAATAAATTAGTACTGAAAAACTTGACTCTCCCCAAAAGACCATAGTTATTCATAAAAGAATATCATAGAAAAACATCAAATTAGCACGGAAATGAATCAACGCAATCTGATACATCTTCTTAAATAAATAGTAGTATTGAAAAACTTGACTCTCTCCAAAGGACAATAGTTATTCATCCAAAAGTACATTACATAAAAACCTATGCATGAAGACTTGGTTCAGTTCTATACTTCTATCTCTGACACACCATTTGGAACCATATTAGTTCATCCAAATCTCAAAACCTGTGGGTTTCCATCAAATTAGAGAGAAAAATAGGCCCCGAGTTTGGTTGTGACAAAGGATGAAGAAAGGGGTTCTTCAATACAGCTAACCGGCCTTAGTATACTTACAACCAAAAAAGGGTAAAATACGAATTACCTCCAGTTTTGGGTATGAGAAACCTCTTGACCTTCGAAATATACATAAATGATTTAAGTTATGTACATTGACATGTAAACAGGGCGGAATTGATACCTATTTTCTTTTTCCATTTGCTGTATATTTTAAAAAGAAGGTTCTTATGGTNAAAGAAAGCCGTTCACTTCAGTACATACCAGGAGGAGATTATGAAAACATTTTCAAATCAGTCTTCTCCTATTCTAGAAACATTATAAAAAATAAAAAAATGGAGATAAATGGTCTAGCTTGAGTGCTTGTCATTGACCTCTAAATTCTCTATACATGACAATGCACAATGAAAATTTTGAGAAGGTAGCTAAATTCTTTGTCAGATCAAGCTAATATAGAAATATGAGATCCTACCAGTAATGTGTGCGTACATTTTCAGAAGTTAAGGAGCTTGTTCCAAGGCCACATCTGTAAGTAAGCCAACTGAAAAACCACAATGTATCTTTTTTAGGAGACACTAACAAATCACTTGCAAGCAATAAACAGTGCTGCACGTGCCTTCCAAAGCTTATTAGGAGTAAGACAACTTCAAATATCGTATGTAGAAGTCTTAATGCATTTCCTATTGTTTTATTGTTTCCTATGGAAGTCACCTCATCAAAGAAAAATATCTGATACATTATTCAAAGAGAAAATAGGTCATGTTGGATATTGATTGGTTAATAAAGGGAGTAGCAGTAGCAACTACTTCTGTGGTAATTCTTAAACATGGCAAAGAAAGTTCAGCGAGCAGGTCATACTTTGGGACTTAAGGCTAGAGCATTAGGGCTTTGACCACTAGGCCAGGGTTAGTAACTCCATTTCAATCATAAACAGGAATCTACTAATATATGCTGTTCCAATATGCAGTTTAAATATGCAAGGGTTAGTCTGACAAAGTTCATGTTTGAGTGCTGCTCTGTCAACATTAGATACACACATTTCTTGTTTAATTTAGCTACAATAAAGCAAAACCATTTTTACTTCATGCAGAGAAAAAAAGAGAATTTGCTAGGTGAAGCATATGCAGTATCAGACAAACCGATCATGGAGGCAGACAACAAAGTCCATCCAGTACCTGAGGTTGAAAGAACTTCAGAGGTTGAAAATGTTAAGGATCCCATTCAAGGTAACAACGGAAAAACTGAGGGTGAAAATATTTTTGAATCACCCTCAGTTGCCAAGGCTGTTGAAGAAATTAGCAGTTCAATGGAAGTCCATGTGTCAGTCGATACACCAAACAAGTCAGGCGAAGAGATGTCAGGGATTTCATTCCACCTTGGGGAGAAAACAGAAGACCAAAAAGTAGAAATCAGCTCAAATGAAAATATTTGTTCAAACGGATACACACAAAATGTAAAAGAATCAGCAACTAGCTCGGACAAGGATGAGGGATGCATGACACAAGAAAAACCCAACGGAGATTTGACAAAGACAATCTCTAGTCAGATTGTACACATGCTAAACTATAAAGAGAGTTCCATAGGACATTTACGAGAGGATACAACAGAAAAAGAAAAAGTTTGTCATGAAGATGACAGCACAGAGCATGTACCTGATACCGACAAGGGAAGAGACTCATGTGAAACAATCTTTGAAGGAAAAGAAGAAAAAGAGACTATGTCATCCATTTTAGAAAGAACAGAAGGGACAAACGCTGAAGCAATCAAATCACCTGGTGACACGAAGGATGAGAAAGCACTCAAAGATGAGAATGACTACAATGATGATAGAAGTATTTTCATCTCCCCCCAAACAGAGTGCCAAACAGGAGAGGATGAGAAAAAAGAGACAGGAGATGGAGAGGGTGCTAGGAATCTGCTTGTTAACCCATTTGTTAATGTTGTAGAAGAAACCAGGTTAGATGATGCTGAATCAGATACGAGCAGGAAACATGGGGACAACTCAATTGAGAATGGAAACCAAGAAGCACATCAGTTTAATGAAATAATAATAAATACAACATCCAAGGACATTGATGATATTCAGAGCTCAGACATATTGATATCTTCGTTTACAGAAGAAAGAGAGGACATAGCCCCCAAAGAAGATACCAATTCTGCTCCATTAAGAGACGTCATCGGAACTGTCTCAGAGAATGATGCCAACACGAGCCAGCATGAAGAAGAAAACCAAACCAAGATGTTTGAGAATGCTGCTATAATTGATCGCAGAGCAAGTAAAGCAAATGAGTCTGAAAAAAAACATGTCCAAATTGTTGATTCACAGGTAGCCTGCGAGGAAAATATGCAAAGGAAAACTGACCAGCTGGACATGCCAGAAGGCTCAAAAAGAGAAAGTAGAGATGACGAAGCATCAGAAATTGCAGCAGAAGGGCAGGAAATTGCTGAAATTCCAAAAGATAACAAGTCAAATGACATCTTTTTGGAAAATGAAGTGGAAAAGAATCTCACTGAACTTTTGCTTGTCACTGGTGACGAGATTGGAAACTCATCTTTCGGGGAACTTATAGAGACAACATCCGACCATAAGCTTGATACAGCCACCAGTTCAGAAGATATCCATGGTGGTTTGAAGGGAAAATGCAACATGGATGACAATAAGGAAGAGGTAACTCTCCTGGAAAAGGTGAGGATCAAGCATTGTTACATAATTTATCCGTCCTATTAGTTCTATATGTGCAAGGAATTTACATCTGCTTATCTTTTGAAAAACTAAGTGAAACTTTAAATTCTTCTTGCAGAATATGCCAGTTGTAGACTCGAACGACAAGACAAACAATGAAATTTCATGCAATACCAATCATGAGGCTGTTGACTATCCAGAAGTTGAGGGAAAACCTGAAGAACCAGCAGTTGAAGAAAAACATGAAGAACCAACTGTTGAAGAGAAACCTAGAGAACTAGCGGTTACGGAGAAACATGAAGAACCAGCGATTGAGGAAAAACCTGAAAAACCAGCTGTGGAAGAAAAACTTGAAGAACCAGAGGTCGAGGAGAAACATGAAAAACCAGCAGCTGAAGAGAAACCTAAAGAACTAGTAGTTGAAGAAAAAGCTGAAGAACCAACACGGGAAGAAACACCGGAAGAACTAGAATTTGAAGAGAAACCTGAAGAACCAACTGTTGAAGAAACACCTGAACAATTAGCAGTTGAAGAGAAATCTGAAAAACCAGTGGTTAAAGAGGAGAAATCTGAAAAGGTAACTCTCTTGGAAAAGGTGAGGATCAAGCACTATCACAAAGTTTATCCATCCTATTAGTTTTGTACGTGCAAAGATTCATATCTACTTATCTATTGAAAGATTAAGTGAAACTTTAAATTCTTCTTGCAGAATATGTCAGTTGTAGATTTCAATGACAAGACTAACAGTGAAATTCCATGCAATACCAACAATGATGTTGCCGACTATGTATCAGTTGAGGCAAACCTTGAAGAACCAGTAGTTGAAGAAAAACCTGAAGAACCAACGGTTGAGAAGAAACCTGAAGAACCAGCTGTTGAAGAGAAATCTGAAAAACCATCAATTGAGGAGAAACGTGAAGCACCAGCATTTGAGAAGAAACCTGAAGAACCAACAATTGAGGAGAAACATGAAGAACAAACAATTGAAGAGGAGAAACCTGAAAGGGTAACTCTCCTGGAAAAGGTGAGGATCAAGCATTGTCACAAAGTTTATCCATCTTATTAGTTGTGTATACGATACGATTTACATATGCTTACCTACTGAAAGACTAAGTAAGACTTTAAAGTTCTTTTCTTGCAGAGTATGCCAGTTGTAGTCTCGAACGACAAAACTGACAGTAAAATTCCAAGCATTACCAACAATAATGATGCTCGCTTTTCAGAAGTTGAGGAAAACCCTGAAGAACCTGAAGTTAAAGAAAAACCTGAAGAACCAACAGTTGAGGAGAAACCAGAAGAACCAACAGCTGAAGAGAAACCTGAAGAACCAGCAACTAAAGAAAAACAAGTGCAGATAGGGGAGGAAACAGCTGAAGAACTACCGCTTGAAGAGAAACCTGAAGAACTAACGATTGAACAGACAGATGAAAAACTAGTTGTTGAAAATAAAACTGAAAAACCAGCAAATAAAGAGGAGAAACCTGAAACGGTAACTCTCCTTAAGCAGTGTCACAGAGTTTATCCATCCTATTAGTTCTATATGTGTAACGAATTCATATCTGTTTATCTATTGAAATACTAAGTGAAAATTTAAATTTTCTTGCAGAATTTGCCTATTGCAGACTCAAAGGACAAGACTGACATTGCAATTCCATGCGATACCAGCAATGATATTGCTGACTATGCAACAGTTGAGGAAAAACCTGAAGAACCAGTAGTTGAAGAAAAACATGAAGAACCTGCAATTGAAAAGAAATTTGAAGAACCAGCAGTTATGGAGAAACCTGAAGAACCAGCGGCAAAGGTAAAACCTGAAGAACCAGCAGGGAAAGAAAAACCTGAAGAGCCAACGGCTGGGGAAAAACCTGAAGAACCAGCAGGGAAAGAAAAACCTGAAGAGCCAACGGCTGGGGAAAAACCTGAAGAACCAGCAGCAAATGAGGAACCTGAAAAATCAGCGATGAAAGAGAAACCTGAAGAACCAATTGTTGAGGAGAAACTTGAAGAACCAACTGTTGAAGAGAAACCTGAAAAACCACTGATTGAAGAAACACCTGAAGAACCAACATGGGAAGAAACACCTAAAGAACTAGCATTTGAAGAGAAACCAGAAGAACCAGCAGTTGAAGAGGAGAAACCTGAAAAGGTAACTCTTATGGAAGAGGTGAGTATCAAGCATTATCACATAGTTTATCCATCTATGTGCAACAATTCACATATGCTTATCTATTGAAAGACTAAATGAAACTTTAAATTCTTCTTGCAGAATATGCCAGCTGTAGATTTCAACGACAAGACTGACCGTGAAATTCAATGCAATAACAATGATGTTGCTGAATATGTAGCAGTTGAGGAAAACCTTGAACCAGCAGTTGAAGAAAAACATGAAGAACCAACAGTTGAGGAGAAACCTGAAGAACTAGCAGTTGAAGAGAAACCCGAAAAACCAACAATTGAGGAGAAACCTGAAGAACTAGCAGTTGAAGAGAAACCCGAAAAACCAACAATTGAGGAGAAACATGAAGAACCAATAGTTGAGAAGAAACCTGAAGAATCAATAATTGAAAAGGAGAAATCTGAAAGGGTAACTTTCCTAGAAAAGGTGAGGATCAAGCATTGTCAAAAGGTTTATCCATCTTATTACTATTAGTTGTGTATGTGCAACAATTCACATCTGCTTACCTATTGAAAGACCAAGTGAAACTTCAAAATTCTTCTTGCAGAGTATGCTAGTTGTAGACTCGAACGACAAGACTGACAGTGAACTTCCATGCAATACCAACAACGATGCTGCCCACTTTCCAGAAGTTGAGGGAAACCCCGAAGAACCAGCAATTGAAGGAAAATCTAAAGAACTTGTTGATGAAGAGACACCTGATGTACCAGTGGTTGAGAAACCTGAAAAACAAATGGTTGAGGAGAAACTTGAAGAACCAATGATTGAGGAGAAATCTGACGAACTAGTCGAGGAGAAATCTCAACAACCAGCGGCTGAAAAGAAACCTGAAGAACCAGCAGCTAAAGAATCACCTAAAGAGGTAGCAGGGGAGGAAACATCTGAAGAACTAGCACTTGAAGAGAAACTTAAAGAACCAACAGTTGAAGAGATACCTAAAGAACTAGTTCTTGAAGATAAACCTGGAAACCCAGAAAATGAAGAGGATAAACTTGAAACAGTAACTCTCCAGGAAAAGGTAAGAAACAAGCAGTGTCACAGAGTTTATCCATCCTATTAGCTCTATATATGCAACGAATTCACATCTGTTTATCCACTGAAAGACCAAGTGAAACTTTAAATTTTCTTGCAGAATTTACCAATTGCAGACTCAAAGGACAAGACTGACAATGCAACTCCCTACAACAACAATGATATTGCTGACTATGTAGCAGTTAAGGAAAAAACTGAAGAACCAGTAGTTGAGGAAAAACATGAAGAACCGGCAATTGAAGAGAAATCTGAAGAATCAGCATTAATGAAAAAAACTGAAGAACCAGCGGTTGAGGTAAAACCTGAAGAACCGTCAGTGGAAAAGAAGCCTGAAGAACCAGCGGTTAGGAAAAAACCTGAAGAACCAGCAGTTAATGAGGAACCTGAAAAATCAGCAACGGAAGAGAAACCTGAAGAACCAATTGTTGAGGAGAAACTTGAAGAACCAACTCTTGAAGAGAAACCTGGAAAATCAGTAATTGAAGAAACACCTGAAGAACCAACACTGGAAGTAACACCTAAAGAACAAGCGTTTAAAGAGAAACCAGAAGAACCAGCAGTTGAAGAGGAAAAATCTGACAAGGTAACTCTTTTGGAAAAGGTGAGCATCAAACATTGTCACAAATTTTAGCCATCCTACTAGTTCTGTATGTGCAATAATTCGTATCAACTTATCTATTGAAAGACTAAGTGAAACTTTAATTCTTCTTGCAGAATATACCAGTTGTAGATTTCAATGATAAGACTGACAGTGTAATTCCATGCAATACCAACGACGATGTTGCTGAATACGTAGCAGTTGAGGAAAACCTTGAAGAACCAACAGTTGAGGAGAAACCTGAAGAATTAGCGGTTGAAGAGAAACCTGAAAAACCAGCAATTGAGGAGAAAAGTGAAGAACCAATAATTGAGAAGAAACCTAAAGAACCAGCAGTTGAGGAGAAACCTGAAGAACAAACCGTTGAAGAGAAACTTGAAGAACCAACAATTGAAGATGAGAAACTTGAAAGGGTAACTCTCCTAGAAAAGGTGAGGATCTAGCATTGTCACAAAGTTTGTCCATCCTAATAGTTTTATATGTGCAAGCTTTTCAGATCTGCTTATCTATTGAAAGACTAAGTGAAACTTTAAATTCTTCTTACAGAATATGCCAGTTGTAGACTCGAACGACAAGACTGACTGTGAAATTCCATGCAACACCAACAATGATGTTGCTTACTATCCAGCAGTTGAGGAAAATCTTGAAAAAACAACAATTGAGGAAACAACTGATGAACCAGTGGTTGAAGAGAAACCTGATGCACAAGCGATTAAGGAGAAACCTGAAGTACCAACGATTGAGCAGAAACTTGAAGAGTTAGCAGGAGAGGAAACCCATGAAGAACTAGCAGTTGAAGAGAAGCTAGAAGAACCAATTACTGAAGAGACACCTGCAGAACTAGTTATTGAAGAGAAACATGAAAACCCAACAATTGAAGAGGAGAAACCTGAAACAGAAGCTCTCCTAAAGAAGGTTAGGATTAAACACTGTTTCAAAATTTATCCATCCTATTAGCTTTATATGTGCAAGGAACTCACATATGTTAATCTACTGAAAGACTAAGTCAAACTTTCAAGTTTTCTTGCAGAATATGCCAATTGTAGACTCAAAGGACAAGATTGACGTTGAAAGTCCAGGCAATAACAACAATGATGGTGCTGACTATCCAGCAGTTGAAGATAAACCTGAAGAACTAACAGTTGAAGAAAAACATGAAGAACAAGCAATTGAAGAGAAACCTGAAGAACCAGTGGCCACAGAGAAACCTGAAGAACCAGCGATTAAGGAAAAAGCTGATGAACCAGCAGTGCAAGAGAAACCTGAAGAACCAGCTGTGGAAAAGAAACCTGAAGAACCAGCAGTCGAGGAGAAACTTGACGAACCACCAGTTGAAGAGAAATCAGAAGAACCAGTAGTTGAACAAACACCTGCAGGACCAGCATGGGAAGAAACATCTAAAGAACTAGCATTTGAAGAGAAACCTGAAGAACCAGCAGTTGAAAAAACACCTGAAGAACTAGCAGTTGGAAAGAACCCTGAAAAAACAGCAGTCGGAGAGAAACATGAAAAAGTAACTCTCTTGGAAAAGGTGAGGATCAAGCACAATCACAAATTTTATCCATCCTATTAGTTATGTATGCGCAACAATTCACATTTGCCTGTTGGAAGATTAAGTTAAACTTTAAATTCTTCTTGCAGAATATACCAATTATAGAGTTAAACGAGAAGAATAACAGTGCAACTCCATGCAATACCAACAATGATGTTGCTGACTATCCAGCAGTTGAGGAAAAACCTGAAGAACCAGCGATTGAGAAAAAACCTGAAGAACCAATGGCTAAGGAGAAACTTGAAGAACCAATTGTTGAGGATAAACCTGAAAAATCAGTGATAGAGGAGAAATCTGAAAAACTAGCAACTGAAGAAACACTTGGAGAGCAAGCAGGGGAGGAAACACCTGAAGCACTAGCAGTTGAAGAGAAACCTGACAAATCAACAGTTGAAGAGACAGTTGAAGAACTAGCTATTGAACAGAAACCTAAAAAAACAGCAGTTGAAAAAGAGAAACCTGAAGCCGTAACTCTCCTGGAAAAGGTGATCAAGCACTGTCACAGAGATTCCTTGCTCTATACGTGCAAGGAATTTACATCTACTTATCTACTGAAAGATTTAGTGAAACTTTAAATTCTTCTTGCAGAATATGCCAGTTGTAGATTCAAAGGACAAGATTAACAGTGAAATTCCATGCAATGCCAACAATGATGTTTTTGACTATCCAGCAGTTGAGGCAAAACCTGAAGAACTAGCAATTGAAAAAAAATATGAAGAACCAGTAGTTATATTGGAGAAACCTGCAGAACTAGCAGTTGAGGAGACACCTGAAAAATCAGTAGTTGAAGAGAAGCCTGAAAAACCAGCAGCACGGGAAGAAGCACTTGAAGAACCAGCATGGGAAGAAACACCTGAAGAACCAACAGTTGAAGAGAAACTTGATAAACCAGCAACTGAAAAAGAGAAACCTGAAAAGGTAACTTTCCGCGAAAAGGTGAGGATCAAGCACTATCACAAAGTTCGCCCATCCTAATAGTCTTGTATGTGCAAGGAATTCACATATGCTTTTTTATTGAAAGACTAAGTGAAACCTTCAATTCTTCTTGCAGAATATGCCTGTTGTAGACTCAAATGGTAAGACTGGCAGTAAAATTACATGCACTACCAAAAAAGATGTTGCTGATAATCCAGCAGTTGAGGATGAAGAACCAGCAGTTGAGGATAAACCTGATGAACCAACAGTTGAAGAAAAACCTGAAGAACCAGCAATTGAAGGAAAACTTGAGAAACTGGCAGTTGAAGATAAACTTGAGGAACCAGCTTTTGAACAGAACCCTGAGGAAACAGCAGTTGAACAGAACCCCGAGGAACCGCCAGTTGAAGAAAAACCTGAGGTACCAGTAGTTGACGAAAAAGCTGAAGAACTAGTGGTTGAAGAGAAACTTGAAGAACCATCAGTTAAAGAAAAGCCGGAAGAACAAAGCAGGGAAGAAACCGAAGCTCCCATAAAAGAGGCAAAGCATAACCAGAATGCAAATGAAGCAAGCAGCAGTCTGCCAACAGCTATGCTAAGCCATCCGCCTGCTCAAGGGACAACAATGACCAACCCAATATTGGGAGAACCAATTAGTATTGACGAACCTAAAAATGTGCAACAGCTAGATTCTCAAGAAATATCAGAAATCGATGATGCAATGCAGAGAGATGAAGATAACATAAAGCAGAAGGATGAGGCTTCTTTCACTGAAGAACAGAAGTTTACACCACAGAGTGAGTAATACTAGTTCACAGACATGCTTTCCCTATCCAATTGATTTTATTTGCAATGGAAAATGGTGACACACTTTAGATAACAGATCAAATCGATTTAACCATAGTCTTACTCGCAAAAAGTAGAGAAAAATACAAATGGAACCAATCTCTAAAAGGAAGCTGAAATGGAGAGAAGCACCAGAGACAAGATGCCTTTCTGTTTTGGAGAAACCTCGAAAAAGTAGAATGCACATCCACAGTATTTAGCAATAATGATCATCTATCATTACATATATGAACATAATTTATTTATTACTACATTGATATAATAAAGAAATCCTATGATATGCTTTTGCTAAGATATTAGGGCTAGCAGCATTCATTAAGCCATAAATTCCAATATGGATGTAACAAGCACTTTTTTGGGGGTTCAAAGAGATGCACTTTCTAGTCACTTCAATAATGACTAGATGTGGTATTAACTACTACCGACATATTGCAGGTTATGACAATCAAAATACTTCGACAGGGGATAGTTTCTTAAATAAGAACATGTTCGCTGAAGGTGAAGCTGTGCACATTAATAGTCAAGAGGATCTAATCAGGCAAGAAACTTCAGGAAGCACAAAATCTGAGATAAATCCAAATTCAAGTAAAGGAACAGAAAATGAGGCAAGTGATATTGCTAATAGAGAAGGATCAAGCAGACTTGGTTAAGTAAATAATTTAGTTGCTCTTCGTCCTTATTGTTCTAAACTTGATGAGCTACTTGGTTATGCAGGTAAATGACCATCCAGAAGGACCAGAAGTACCAAAACAAACTGATGAAACGGAAAAATGTATAGTACAGAAGCAAGAAGATTCCGTTCGCAACCAGGACGAACTGGCTGTTGAAGAAAAAATGAGATCTTGTGAAGAGGTTGAAACAAAGGTATTAGATGATCTGGCTTCTATTAATACTCTGATCTTTCCTGTCCATAGACTAATGATAGCCAAAACTATAACTTCAAAACATATAAACAAACTTAAAGATATAAATGCTGGTGATGGAATGGAACAAATAAAAACATTATGGAAAAAGAAGAAAAGACTTTGGACAAAATTCTGACGTCCACCAAAGAAGAAATTGGTACCAAGAACTCTGAAGAAGGCCAAGTGGTTTCAGAGATTCCCAGTCAAGAGTTTAAGTGACCATAGAAGCCTGTTCTTAATTCATATATGTAACTCTCAGATATAAAGATGCCTTCTCTCTTTCTACTAAAATCACAAAATTCCCTCTTTTTCAAATCTGCAGAACTTTCAACAAGCTAATTTAATCAGAGATGAAGCTTTATTGAAAGATGAGCATGGAGTCGAGAACTTCGTGGTAGTTTCTTCAGAAGAAATTAGTTGTGAAGGCTCTATTGAAAAGTTAAACGAAATGAGAACCTGAGAATGAATCAGCCAATTAGCATCAAGGCACTCATATGACAACCATTCACTGAGGGTCTTAAGTTTATTGCATGCATATGAATTATCTTGCCACCTTGTCTTTCTGGGAGAAATATTAAAATTCAAGTCTGAAAGTATTTGAAGTATATAGTTCGTAGTAACTACTAACTACTATAAATTTAAAGTTCTCCATATAAAACAAAATAAGTCTTCACTTCCTTTCCCAGAGTTTTTGTTTATTCTGTAGTTATTGCACAAAATGGGAAACAATAGATGATAAGATGATATATACAAGAAATAGAAAATTAATTCACTGCTGATAGAGTATATTCTATTGCACAAATATCAACCATCTTTGCTCTTTTATTTGTTTATTTATTTATTTTGTTCGAGGCTATTACAAGTGAGACATCCTAGTATCATTGGGATTCATATGCGCTTCTTTTGAAAACTAAGTCGAAACAAAAATTAGCCAAATGCTGACAAATGGGTATGACTTATTTTTCTGAAAAAGAACGGACCATTGACATTGCAAATCGAGTATTCCTTTGAGTCTTTGAAACAATAAGTTGCAAGGGAAGGTTTAAGCAAATTTCAAATATTGCAGGTAGATGCCTTCATGCATTTATTCTGATCATTTTATTGGTTTTCTTCGGCAGACTCTTTTAACATTGACAAAAAGAAAGATTCTTCTTGGAGAATTATCAGTTAATAAAGGAAGAGGCAGTGGAAACTCTTTCTCGGGGAATTCCAAAATATGACCTTAAGAGAATTCACATGACGTTAAGCTAGAAACCAAGGACTTAAACCACTAGGCCACGGCAACTGTATTTCAGTTATAAACAGGAATCTTGCTAAAATAAGAAGTCCCAAAAATCATCATGTAGACATCTGTTAACTTGATATAATGCTCGGCAGTTGACAATTACTAAAACCATCTGGAGATTAAGATATGAACACCTTCTTCTCTCGTTAGAATGATTCTTATATGCATAACTCCTTGTCCTTTTCTCACCAGTGTATGTAACATACTAAACAATGGTAGCACTCAAAATATTCTGAGCAATCACGATCATTGTTGCAGAACAGTTGAGCATGTGTAATAACCCTATGCGAGATGCAACCAAAAGAATTCCACCATCCTATTAGTTCCGTATGTGTAAGGAATTCACATCTACTTATCTATTGAAAGACTAAGTGAAACTTTAAATTCTTCTTGTAGAATATGCCGGTTGTAGACTCGAACGACAAGACTGACAGTGAAATTTCATGCAATACCGACAATGATGTTGCTGACCATCCGGCAGTTGCAGAAAAACCCGATGATTCAGCAGTTGAAGAGAAACCCGAGGAATGGATAGTTGAAGAGAAACTGGAAGAAACAGCCGTTAAGGAGAAAGCCGAAGAACCAAAAGTTGAGGAGAAACTCGAAGAACCAGCAATTGAGGAGAAACCTGACAAACCAGCGGTTGAAGGGACACCTGAAGAACCTGCAGTGAAAGAAACACCTGAACAACCAACGTTTGAAGAGAAACCTCAAGAACCAGCAATTCAGGAGAAACCTGAAGAACCAACAGTTGAAAAGAAACCTGAAGAACCAACAATTGATGAAGAACTTGAAGAACCAACAGTTGCGGAGAAACCCGAAGAACCAGCAGTTAAAGAAAAACATGTAGAACCAGCAATTGAAGAAAAACGTGAGGAACCACAAGTTGAAGAAAAACATGAGGAACCAGCAGTTGAAGAAAAAACTGAAGAACCAGCAGTTGAAGAAAAACCTAAAGAACCAAAAGTTGAGGAGAAACCTAAAGAACCAGCGGCTGAGGAGAAACCCGAAGAACCAGCAGTGAAAGAAACACCTGAAGAACCAGCGGTTAAAGAGACACCTGAGGAACTAGCAGTTGAAGAGAAACCTGAAGAACCAGCAATTGAAGAGAAACCTGAAGAACCAGTAGCTGACAAAAAACTTGAGCAACCAACAATTGAGGAGAAACCTGAAGAATCAATAGTTGAAAAGACTGAAGAACCAGCAGTTGATGAAAAAGGTGAAGAACCGTCAGTTGAAGAAATACCTGAGGAGTCGGCAGTTGAAAATTTTGAAGAAGCAGCAGTAGAAGAGAAACCTGAAGAACCAGCAGTTAAGGAAAAAACTGAAGAACCACCCATTGAAGAAAAACCCGAGGACCAAGCAGTTGAAGAGAAACCTAAAGAACTAACAGTTGAAGAGAAACTTGAAGAACCAATAATTGAAGAGAAACCTAAAGAACCACCAGTTGGAGAAGAACCCAAAGAACAAAACAGGGAAGATACTGAAGCTGCCACAGAAAGAATTGATGAATCTGGAACACATATAGTAGAGAAAGAAGAAGCTTTGATAGGAAAACAGACAGAATTGTTTGTCGAAGAAACAACGAAACTTTGCAAAGAAGTTGAAACTGAGGTATTAAGTGGCCTTCTATCAATGCTTTGATATTCTTTCATGTGCCTAACTAGTCATAACAAAACCTATCACTACAAACAGATAAAAGAACTTAAAGATGTCAATGCTGGTGATGGGACAAATAAGAATGTCCTAGGAAAAGAAGAAACAACTCTAGATGAGCTTCTAACATCAGCCAAAGAAGAGATGGCAGCAAATAACTTTGAAGAAGGCAAAGTGGTTTCAGAAACCCCCAATCAAGAGGTTAAGTGACCACATAAGCCTGTTTCCAATTCATATATCTAACCCCAAGATAAAACAGAAATGCTTGCTTTCTCTTTCTTCTAAATCACTGGATTGCTCTTTTTAATTTCTGCAGAACACTCGGCAAGCCAATCTGACAACAGAAGTGGTTAAAGACACGCGTGGAGCAGAGAACTTCATTGCACTTTCTTCAGAAGAAAAGAGGGTGGAGGACTCTACTGAAAAGGTAAATGAACAAAACCTTACAATAGATTAGCTGATTAGCATCTAGTGAGAATCTATGACCACATAAGCCTGTTTCAAATTCATATATCTAACCCAACGAAGGTAAAATAGAAATGCTTGCTTTCTCTCTTTTTTCTAAAATCACTGGATTGCTCTTTTTTAATTGTGAAGAACTTTCAGCAAGACAATCTAACCACAGAAGAGGTTAAAGACACAAGTGGAGCAGAGAACTTAATTGCACTTTCTTCAGAAGAAAAGAGGGTGGAGGACTCTACAGAAAAGGTAAACATGCAAGATCTTACAAGGAATTAGCCGATAAGCATCTACTGAGAATCTACGAGTTTGTTGCATGCTTATGAGCCTAGAAGTTCAATTTTCCTGCTGCATGATATTTTCAGAACAACAACAACGACAACAACTAAGCCACAACTCCAAGTTAGTTAAGGTCACAAATCCCTAGAGGAATATATATTATTCTCAGTTTCTGTTCCCTTCTGCAAAAAGAGGATTGAGGAGATGTTGCTGTGAGAGCACTATATACGGAAAACTGCATGAAACATTTCGTGTAAGCAGGCAGAGTATGACATGAATGACGATTTGCTACCTGCTACAAGAAATCGCAATTCTAAATTTAAAAAGTTGGAACTAAATTATAACAGTAAAATAAGTTATAGAAAAACTAGCAAAACAGAACTTGATGTTTCCCCTTCCGATACAACCACTAAAGAAGCATGAATAGAACTTACGAATTATCTCGAGTTGAATCAAAGCTAGAAGCAGCATATGCACTGCAATCATGTTTTGTCGCGTCATGCAATCCTGCTAGCAGTCTCCAGAAATCTCTCTATTTCCTCACCCTTTCAGTTATTTCTGGATACCAACCAAATTAGAAATTACTCATTCTACAGGTTGAAAGCTTTGATATCGGATTCCAAAATCATAATAAGGACAACACAGCTGCAGCAGATAAGCTTGAGCTACAAAGCAGAGAAACAGATATTGGCCATATGCTCGATACTCCGGTAGAAAAAGGAAGAAACGATGAAAAGATATCTGAATCCACAGAAGAACTTATCCATCAGACAGCTGAGATTTGTGAAGATAACGAAGCAGCAGTAGTTACGGACACCAATACGTTACAAAGCTGTGCAGATCCACAGGAACAACTGAAGCATCAGTTAGCTGAGGTATGTGAAGAGAAACAGGCAGTAGGAAAAGCAGACACCAATTCTTTACAAAGGTCTGCAGACCATGAGAAGCCTTACAGTGCACCTGCTCAGGAGGTAAATTGTAATTAAGTTTTTGTACCATGCATCGTTTGATTAAATGTTAACTTTTTCCTTTTTCTCCTGTATTTCTTAAAAGATTGCTTATGTTGACTGGTCAAATTCCAGATCATTGACAAATCAGAAACAGAGGATGTTTCCTGTGCGGATTGCATTGAAGAAGAAAATAGCATCAGCACCAAACAGGAGAAGTTAAAACAGGAAGAAAATCCAGAAGTGAAGACAGATGAAAATTTTGACAAGAGAGAGGAAAACCAAAGCATAATGGTTAGAAACTGGATGCATTTATCATACATCTTACTTAAAAATGTGTGGACGTTACCTATATCAGAAAAATTGTTTTTTTCTGTAGATGTCAGAAGGAGCTGAAATGGATGATTACAAGCAGCATATAAAGTACAACACATGTGCAGTCATGAATACAGAAGAGCATAATGAAGATTCACCTGCTGGAAAACAAACATCCGAAAAGCTAGAAGAACTGGGAAAAATTAATATCAATGACAACAACAACGTTAATCATGGAAGTACTGAGATAGACCTCCCAGAAGAGGCTAAGGAATCAAAGGGCGAATGTGTTATTATGGAAATCAAGACTCCAATTAAAGAGGTCAGATTAAATTGTGGATCTATCTTCCATTTCAATATTTTACCTGCATGATTTGATCTGTTTTACTCCCTCCTGTTTAGGAAGGAGGTTGCTGGCAGAAAATGATTGAACTCAAACTGCATGAAATATTCAGCACATAGGTTAACGAGAGAAAACAAAGTATTGATGTAAATAAAAAACTTGAATCATATCTAGTAAATTGTTCGCTGGATACAGACTAACTTAAAATATACAGACATTATAAGGACAGTCAATAAAACTACTCTAGGAAAGATCACTAAGATGAAATCCCCATCTGCCACAGCTGGCTAAAGAAAAGTCTACTGAAGCCAACCGATGTTCCAGGGTGTCAAAGATGGAAAAGGCAAAACTAAAAAAATAAAAAAGCTAAAAGATACAAGCAAATATACATTCTTCCAATCTTTGCTTACTCCCCCCTGCCTCCTTCCCTGTTTACTTTACAATGTACACATTCAATCAAGATTCCTGACGGTAAAATATGAACTCATAGGAGGAACAAGAAGATTTAAGAGAGAGCACTGGCAAAGATTCCTCAAGCAACAACACAACACATGTGCAACAAGAGAAGGGAACAACAATAAGTGAACCTGAAAGAGGAACTTTGAAACCTTTTGGATCAGAACAAAAAACAGCTGCAGGTCTTGAAGAGATGATAACAAGCAATAGAACAAAAGAAACAGAGAAAGAAGAAGTAAAGACTGAAAATGTTCCAAGTGCCCAAGTAGGATGTGAACAAGAGGGAAAAACAAGGGATGAATGGGAAGAAATAACAGAACATTTCACATCATTGGAATCCGTTAAGGTTTCCGAAAAGGAGATAGCAACGGATAACATGGCGAGCAATGAAATCAATGTAACTAAGCAGATACAAGAGCAAGCAGCATATCCTTTACTTGCATTGGAGAGGGTGGAAACTGATTCAACAGGCAGCACGGATGTCTATGGCATGCCCAAAGACAGCATTACCCCACTAGTGCAACTGGGTGCAATGGCCAAAAGTATCCAGCACATGCAGGAAAAATGCAAAACTTCAGAGACAGAAGAGGATCAGGAAAATTACAAAAACGAGAAACGAGTGGAATGTGATTTAAAAGAAGCCCCAGAGGAATCCAGATCAAGAGAGACACAAGCTAAGGCCGCACTTCCTGACCTTCTGCATGAATCAGTAAAAGCGACATCAAAAATGGAAGAAAGTTTTGCTGAAGAAAAAGCAGTAATGATCAATAAAGAAGACCTGCAGGCACACAAAACTGAAGAATCTGAAGATGAAGAAGAAATAACTGATAAGGAAAAAGACAATGACAAAGATGAGGAAGGAAGTCAACAAACAAGAGAAGAGTCATGTTCTGAAGGTCCAGTCATTGTAGAAGTCTCGAGAGATGCTGATATCAGAGTTCCTCACAAGAAACATCAGAATATATTGTCAGGAGTTGGATCAAAAGTCAAGCACTCAATTGCAAAGGTGAAGAAAGCCATCACTGGTAAGTCCTCTCAGAGCAAGCCACCATCACCCAAATAAGACGGAAAAAGATGATCATGACTTTACATAATACAAAGTCATAAGTTCTCGAGAATAGTAAGTGAAAAGATTTTCAGCAATTCAAGTTCTCAATAATGTACAAAAGTTTGTCCATGTGAAATCTTATTGTATTATGAATTCTTTAATTATCAAATACATAGTGGCAACTTCTCAATGTCAACTCCAGTAATATAAAGATCAGAGCACTCAACCAACCCAACTGCACCACACAGTAAGAACCCCTATTGTAGTATGAGTTTGCCCCCCAGCAAAAGAAAATTTATAACTTACTTTCCATGACCCACAGTTAACATTAAGAAGGAAGACTTGGAATAGTTTTCCTAGCAAGACAACTATCAATACAGACATTCTAAACTTCCTCAAATATACTGTAGTAATCTTTTTCTATAACCTCCTCAAATCGACTAACTTAAAAGGCAATAGTGTGTTTCCACTATACGATGACCTCTGCCTCAGTCCTAAATTAGTTAGCGCCGGCTAGATTTATTCGTTGTAATCACTCCGCTCTATCCAGGTGCATTTTCTTCGGATTTATTCGTTGTAATCACTACGTGCATTTTCTTCTAGAAACAATAAAAAAAAATTCCCATTTGGAAAAATATACAGGTGGGCTCTAAACCAACAAACGCCATTTGAAAACACAACGGATTAAAGGTATTTCAAAAAGAGCAAGGTTTTTACATTACGCAGGTATTAGTTTGTTATATGAGTATCACAACTTCAACAGACAACTCCACCTAAAAGGACAGAATACAGAACATGATCCCTAACATAACAATGACTCTCTTTTTTACACCAACAATGACTTTTTAATGCAGATAAAATAAAACATGCCAATTAGGAAAATATAAGAGTAAAATTCAATAGAATTTCCAAATTGGAACATATTTAGTGATTAACAGCGTAAAACTGTATCCTATCAAGTTGAATCATAAACAAAAGCAACAATCACTCAACGCAAGCTTATTTTTTATGGAAGACACTTTAAGAAACGTCTAAATATTCCATATGAACTCTCTCGAAATTGCACTACAAACAAATACCAAAATCTTCGTCCACATGCTACGGAAAAAAGACCTAGAGACTATGTAATTCAAAACCTAAAACAAATGGGAGGAAACAATACAAATTTTTTCGTACCTCTGAAACCAATTCTTTGAAATCCTAGCCATGGGAGGATTGAATAGCTGGCAGATTCTCACCGCGCGGAGGGCACGACGCGGGGAAAAGGGTACGTTAGAATTAAGAAGTTGGGATGTTAGCTTTTAGTTCCTTAGGTTTGTTCTTATGTCCAACTCCATGCTGAAGCTTTACGGTCTCTAAATTTACGGTCATAATGGAGTGTTCATAATTACAATTATAGTAATTATTACAATTCAAAGATTAATAGCTTTTTGATTCAGGTAAATAAGATCTTATTCCTCCTCAGTCCTCACTATATGTAATAAAAAATAAAAAATAAATCTGTTTCAAACCAAAGAAATATAGCATTAAGTATAACCAGAACAACCAATAAAAAATAATGAAGCACATTATAATTCTACTCTAGTAGCTATAATAAAAAGTAATCAACTCAAAATCCCCAAAATTTTTAGGTATGAGATTTTTATTGGAATAATGGGGCAAGATATACTCAAATCACATAGAAAATATTTATTATTATGTAAACAAGTAATTTGAGTTACAACGATATATAAGAAGATAATCACTTTGATTTTAAGGATTATCGATCGAACTTGAGATGCGTATAAGTTTAGTATGAAAAGTTTGATCCTTGTTACTTGTACTTTCTCTTTAAATACACTTTTAATGAAAGATCGAATACGTACATTACGTTGACTAGTTTATTGAAAAGGAAAAAAAAAACATATTAAACAATGATAACAAACTAAGTTTGAATATATTGCATCTTTAATTTATTTAGTTTACTAGGTAGTAGTCGTGCCCAATATTATAAAAATTGAAGCTATTATTTTCAGTCAACTTTGCTTTGATACTAAATTGCAACTAATACAAATTGATCCATATAAGTTGGAATGAGTTCAGATGGACAACATCGCATGCTCGATTATTACATACATTTTGGAGCAAAGTATCCCTCATGAGTTGAATAAAAATGTAATTATACATTATAATGAATACCCAAGATAAAATTGAGCACATTTATTGTATATACAAGCTTTAGACATTTATTTTTTAATGATAATAATCCTACGTTATCTCTCATTCTAATTTATTACTTGTGCACATTTCTGAAGTTGAGTCATTATTCAATTACGATTCATAAGTATTGGCAAGTCTTTACTGCTGCTCAATATGAATATACAAGTAGAATACATAATGTATTTGGCATTTAACCGATTAGTGAAGTAATTGGATGCTCACTTGACCATTTAACTTCTTTATTATATGTTTATATTTATAATTCATTAAAGCTCTTTGCTAGATTTGTAGACTATTTCACATCCTTGTTATCTTCTTTTATAGATATTGACTCATGTTATGGAGCATATCGGCAATCTATTTTTCAAGGAACAATTTTTGTTGAATTTTAATTAAAAAGGTCAAAGTATGCTATTCAATGTCTCAAAGGAGCATCCTCGTGGTTATTGGTCACAGTGAGAAAAGTTACTTAGGTGGAAGTGACATATACTAAAATATTTTAACCTAGATTTAATTGGATAAGATGCATGTAAATTGATATCTTTTTTTTTTTTTTAGATCTTCAACAGATATCCACAAAAGATCTTTAGAAAATTATTCATTAAAATTTTTTATTACGAGATATTGACGGTTTCATAAACTAAGAATACACTATTTGGACTTTCTTGCATAATGCTAGAAAGTTGAAATATGTAGAATTTGAGAACGTCTAGCTACATACATGATCCTGATCTTATTTCTGAACAGTCTTTATTTTAGTTTTATTAGTATAAGTTAAAATATTTTTTGGCTTTTCGATCCTCTTAAATTTTTAATCTATATTGTTCATTCATAGCCTGACGCAAAGTATATATTGAATTCATAAAAAAAAAAGTATTGGGAGATCGCCATGAAAAAATAAAGGAATGCCTCTGAGTGGCACTAGGTGTTTTTGGTCCCATGGATCAACTGACTTACCTCCCAATGGTGTTATTGATTAGGTATATCAGTAATTAATACGAGATCTCTTTCTATGCTCAATGATGTTCTCCTAGATACCATTTGAGAAAAAGACAATGGGCGACTTGTATGAATTAATTTATCAAAATAATAAATTAAACATAACAATCTTTTTCTTCTTCTGAGACATGCTTTGGTCCTCAATCCTTTTTTCCAGAATTTTGAATGCTATTAGATAAAACAAACGTAGCTTAAGTTGCCATTGGTGGACATGCAAAAAATTTATTTGGTGGACATGCAAAAAATACATGTGCAACACGCGTGTCCAATGCTAGAAATATATTATATTATATTATTATTATTTATTTATTATTATCATCATCATCATACTATATTATAAGTGGGAAGTCCCTAAGTCAAAAGTTAAATTACGAAAAAGTCAATCAAAAATTAATTGACCATTTTGCCCTACACCATAAAGAGTAAAAATATTTTGTTTAAATAATACTTGATAAAATTAAGCACATTCATAATATGTTATTTGTGTATGATATACTTATTTACTTGCTTTTAATGATTAAAACCTCAATGTAGTCTATACATTGTATGGAGTAACTTATTACTCCAAACATTGTATGGAGTAATAACATATAATGTATATGATTATATTTATTTACAATCTATATGTTATATATTTATCTTTTTTCTAATGTTCTTGTATTTTTTTCTCTATTTTTTGTACAATAGAATATAAGTTAGTACTAGCTAACCTTCCATATTCTTAATTGTAAAAGCGTGCATGCATGAACTGATCATTCCATTCGTATTCCTCATTAATGGTCCATATTACTAAAGACCAATTATAATGTACGTTTAACTACTATTATTAGATGACCTCTAATTTTTAATTAGTGCAACCATGAGTCCATGACTACCACACCCATCTATCATTGCGCTTCAGTTCACCATAATCTTCCAATTTATCTTTACTTCTTCAATTCTTCAAGTTGCTGCCAGAAAATATGGAGTCACCTCACGACAACCAAATATAAAAGGGAAAGGGTAAGCTAAACTTCCTTGTTGTTTTTTAAGTTTGTATTATTTGATTTAATCTTCATCTTTTTTCTCCCACTTGTCGAGATAAATTTCTTCATTCAATTTTTGAGATTTGTCCATTCTTTATCTTTTTTAGTATTGTGATTCCTATAATTTTTATGCTGGTATATTTTTTTCTTGTGCATTATTTTTACTTATTCTGCACTATTTCGTTTTTCATAAATTAGCACCTTGTATATGGTCAAAACCGGTTTTGCCCTTCACGTATTTAGTTGAGATTGGAACGTGATGGACTAAGGGTCGTCATCATAATATCGAGATGAGATCTGAAACCAGGTTATCAAGCTCAAGATTCAGGGACCGATAAATACCGAGCTCGAAGTCAATATCGAGCTCGAATCAATACCGAGCTCGAGGCAATATTGAGCTCGAGGCAATATCGAGTTCGAGATCCAGAGATCGACCAATACCAAAACCAGCCAAGATCGAGTTAAGAGACAAAGAGTCAATGTAGCCGCACTAGGGGAGAGAATCTCGACGGAAATTAAGGAAAAGCTAATTAACTAATATATCATGGGATCCCCACTATATATTTTTTATTATATCCAAAGTAGGATTCCTCCACTATATGAAGAGTGGCTATCATTTATGTAAAGGATGGACATTGAACATCAATACATTCTCACATCTCACAGATTATTGATTTTACACAGAAATATAACAGAGATTATCCTTTTTTGGACTTTGGACATTGATTCATCTTGCTTGTTTATAAATTATTCTCTACACAATTTGGTTTGTATTTCATTCCTTTTCTACAGTCAATATTTGATATATTTCTACTTATTTTTTCGATTTGTGCCAAATTATACCACGTATCTTTAGAACTACGTATAAATTTAACTTTATCCGTTTTTCGGATAAAAAGTTTGGCGCCCACCGTGGGTCTAAGGATAATAGTGGTTATTTGGTATGAATCTCTGCAAAACACATCATTTTACA